AAGGAGGTCGAAGGCTTAAAAAAAATGCTAATTTAAAACACGGTGGGATAAGACACTCCTATAACATCGTGATCGAGCCAGGGTAAACTCGCTGCAATCCCAGCGGGGAAGAGAACGCAAGACTGAATTGTTATCTTGTATAAATTATTAAAGGTTATATAATAAATTAAGTACAAGTTGGACCACTAATTGCACAAATATTGAACCTGTGGCGGTGACCAACTTCCAAAGTATCAAATGTCCAACTTCCAAAGTATCAAAATGTCCGGACATGAGGTGGTCCTGCATTCACTATAAAGGAATGAAAATTTGAAATTAGACATGGTCAAGTGCCCGGCCACAACACGGCCCGGCGCGGCCCACCAGATCGGTGGGCTTCAACACCATGGCCCGTGACCGGCCCGAAAAAATTTATAGGCTGGTTTACAGGCCGAGACGGCCCTTAAGAAAGAAAAAAATACTAACGGCGTGGCGCGCCTTTCGGCCCGGACTGGAGGGTCAAAAAAAAAAAAAGAAATTATGGCCCGGAATCGAACCGTGGCCCTACGAGTCCAGTTCAACAAACCGGCACTTAGGAAGCCAGTTTAGGGCCCGAAACTGTTCGGGCCGGTTCGGTCCGGCCCGTGGCCATCTCTATCTGAAATGTTGATAGTTCCTTCTATTGATAGAATAATATAATGTTAGAAATTTATGGCCGTCTCTATCTGAATGTTAGATGTTGCTTCTATTGATAGAATAATATATAATGTTAGAAATTTATAGTACTCCGTATTATTTATAGTATAAATCTGTCCCGTCTTTGGACTGAGTGCCTGTAAAATTAATCGGGCATCAAAACACAGGTGGCGGTCTGGTAGAGGAAAGAGAAAATAAAAAAAACAAAAGAAATACACACATCGGGGCCATCGCTGTTTTTCTTCACAAAAACATCACATCACAAATTCACAATCATCCTCATTTGCTTTGCTCCGACTTTCTTTAAAAAAGGTTAAAGAAAGAGAGTCGCGACGGCAAAGCAAAAACCAAATCAAACCCAATTTCGCCTTTTTCATCTTCTTCCAGACGGAATATCCAATTTCCTCCGCAACCGCAAGGCCCCACTCGCAGAACCAGAAGAAAAGGCCACGACTTTGAAGAAAATTCAGCCGGAAAATCGAAAAAAGATCGAGATTGGCTAGAACAATTCAAGAATTCAAATATGGGTCTCTTCAGGGAGAGACTCTCGTCATTCTTCAGTAATCGATGGCTGGTGTTTGTGGCTGCAATGTGGATACAATCTTGTGCCGGAATCGGATATTTGTTCGGCAGCATATCGCCGACGATAAAGAGCTCTCTGAATTATAATCAGAGGCAGGTCGCGAGGTTGGGGGTGGCTAAGGATTTGGGCGACAGCGTTGGGTTTCTTGCCGGAAGTTTATCGGAGATCTTGCCGTTGTGGGCCGCTCTTTTAGTTGGGGCTGTTCAGAATTTTGTTGGGTACGGTTGGGTTTGGCTTGTCGTCACGGGGAAAGCTCCGGTCTTGCCATTATGGGCTGTGAGTATCGTGATATTCGTTTTCACTGCAATTGATTTTTCATCGTTTTTGTTGTTGAGATTTTGTCATTCACTTACTTGGCTTTACTTTTTGATTTGGTTGATTGGTGACTGAGGTTGAGTAATTCTATTTTCCTGGTTTTTGTGTGTATCTTGTCTTTTTACATATGATGTTTTGATAGGGACTTCGAATTTTAGGTAAATCCTCTTTACTTCAACTCGTTGGATCATTATTTCTTCTTTGATTTTGAGTTTGTACGATATGCATTGTTAACTGATCCTTCTGTGTGTTCTGAAGTTATGTTGCTCTTACGATCATTCGTCATTGTTCAAAAGATAATATATATGTTCGTCAATGTCCACTTGCAGCAAGTAATCTTTCTCCTTATCCTGCAGACACTACATAATTAATCCCGTACTTCAAGTTTCCTCCTTTCCAGAATCTCCGAGTTCAATCTCGTATTGGATTGCTGTGGATTATGAACATATTGCTCTTGACTTTTTGTTATTGGATTAATGTGGATTATGAACATATTGCCTCTTTACCTTTTGTTATCGGATTACTGTGGTTTTCGAAAATATTGCTAATTACATTTGTTTCTGGTTTTTTTTTTTCGTAGTTTAGTTTCCTGGCATGGTAACGGATGAAACGGATTACATTTAATTTGAACCTTCTTTCCCCAAGCTTAAGATAGTGAGATGAAGTATTAGTGATGTTCTGAAAATGATGTTTGGTCATCTTACCTCAGTGATGCTTCCTTTACAGGATATCACATAATACATGGAAAAAAGGTCGATTCCCTTGTTTCGTTGATTTCCTTTCACTGGAAAATAGGACTAGAACTTTCTCTTTCCTATGCAATTCACAAAGTAGTGCATATTTTCCACTCGCGTAGCATCAATTTTTTTCCCGTTCTCCACAAAATCTTAACCGACTCATTACCATATCTTTCTCAGATGTGCGTTCTCATTTTCATCGGCACAAACGGCGAGACCTACTTCAACACGGCCGCACTCGTCTCGTGCGTGCAGAACTTCCCCAAGAGCCGTGGGCCCGTGGTGGGCATCCTGAAAGGGTTTGCCGGGCTCGGGGGTGCCATCCTGACCCAGATGTATGCAGTCATGCACTCCCCAGACCATGCTTCCCTCATATACATGGTCGCGGTGGGGCCCACAATGGTGGTCATCGCCCTCATGTTCATCGTCCGGCCTGTCGGTGGCCACAAGCAGATCCGGCCCTCGGACGGCCTCAGCTTCTCACTCATCTACGGCGTGTGCCTCGTCCTCGCTTCCTACCTCATGGGTGTCATGCTCGTCGAGGACATGATAGACTTGAGCCGAACGGTCGTCAGGATTTTCACGATTATTTTGTTCGTCATTTTACTGGTCCCTGTGGTCATCCCCGTCTCTTTGACTTTTTTCAGCGGGTCAAGGACTCCCTTGGAGGAGTCTCTCTTGGGGGATGACTCGGTCAAGAACGGGACGGGTGGGCCCGTGGAGGACGTGATATTCAGTGAGATGGAAGATGAGAAGCCGAGAGAAGTGGACATGCTGCCGGCGGCCGAGAGGCAAAAGAGAATTGCTCAGCTGCAGGCAAGGCTGGCTCAGGCGGCGGCAGAAGGGGCGGTGAGGATTAAGAAGAGGCGGCCCCACAGAGGGGAGGACTTCACGTTGGGCGAGGCGTTGATTAAGGCAGATTTCTGGCTGATATTCTTCTCGCTGCTGTTGGGGTCTGGATCGGGTTTGACTGTGATTGATAACCTGGGCCAGATGAGCCAGTCATTGGGTTATGATAACACACACGTGTTTGTGTCCATGATTAGCATTTGGAACTTTCTTGGCCGTGTGGGTGGTGGCTACTTTTCTGAGAAAATAGTGAGGTATGAGTTTTGGTGTCTGAAAATAGATTGATTTGTTCTGTTTTCAAATGCCAACATTTGTTTCTCAAAAGAAAAGGAAGATTGAGAGGAAAGTCAGAAATGCGAACTTTTCACGGTTTAGGTTGTGATTTGCATTCTTTGAATGATGAGGATCTAAAAGGGAAGAATGGGTTGCTTTAAATTTCTGATTTGTTTCTTGTTTATAGGCATTTGTGTCAATTGGAAAAAGCTACTTTTGCAACTTATTCATCACCTGCTCTCTTTTAACACATATATTCAACCTTTCGCTTCTATATTTAATTATCAATACAGACTACTTCCCTAAAAGTGTTTTTTCTCCCTCTTCAGAATCACACCTTTCACCAACATTGCTTTGGTTTTCACCATATACATCATTGATATAGCATTGTCTTCTTCACAAAAAAACCGTCTTATATTGTATAACAGGGACTACGCATATCCAAGGCCGGTGGCAATGGCCGCAGCCCAAGCAATAATGGCAATCGGGCATTTCTTCTTTGCTATGGGCTGGCCTGGGGCAATGTACTTGGGTACACTCCTTGTCGGGCTGGGCTACGGATCCCACTGGGCCATTGTACCAGCTGCTGCCTCGGAGCTGTTTGGGTTGAAAAAATTTGGCGCTTTATACAATTTCCTAACACTAGCCAACCCAGCGGGCTCTTTGGTCTTCTCGGGCCTCATTGCCAGCAGCATTTACGACCGGGAGGCAGAGAAACAGGCCCAAGGGCACAATCACGGGCCACATACTCTATTTTCTTCCTTTTCAGGTTTCGTTTTTGCCGAGGATCCTATGAAGTGTGAAGGGGCCGTCTGCTTCTTCATGACATCAATGATCATGTCTGGACTTTGCATCATAGCAGTTGTTTTGAGCATGATTCTCGTGCACCGTACTAAGCCGGTCTATGCCCACCTTTATGGGAGGTCTCGGAGGTAAAATTTTACCTGTTCAATGATGGTTGTGTCGAAATGGGGTTTTACGATTTATCGCACAAGTAAAAAGGGTCCTTTGTCATTTGCAAAAAAAAAAAAAAAAAGGGTCCTTTGTCTTGAATTTTTTTCGGAGAAGCCATCGGTTTTATATCATGTTTGGGTCAAGAAGCAAAGAGAGTGTGGGACATATATTTTCCATATATGGTAGGAGAAAGCTGGACGATCTGGATGATTGACGATTATGTTTATTTCATTTTAAAGAACTGTCTTGAGCTCGAGTGTAATTGGTCGATGTTTGTATCGGTTTTCATTTATAGATGTTTTTTGAACTCAATGAAATTCTTTTTGGTACTTGTGAACAAGTTGCTAAAGGAATTTCTTAAGCTGTTGTTGTACTCTCCTTGTGAATCATCTTTCTTTTTTTGTTTTTGTTTTTATTCTGTGCTGCCTATCTTTTCAATTTCTTATTTTATGCTTCAATAAAATAATTACCACAAAAATACCTAATTATGGTCTATATATGTCTACTAGTTTAGTACCTTTTGGCCTAAGAAATTTGTAACACAAAACATAAACCCATAGATTCGATTCAATTACTCTGTCACTGTTATTAGAGAATAACTTAGCTTGCTACATCTTACTGATGATGAAACAAGTATGCAAATGCCACCAGAAAATAAAATATCTTCTTTTTGAGTAATTCTACGGATTGAAAACCGCACAATCTTTTCGTATTTCTCCTTGCTCGCCAGTTTTCACCCCAACCCTGCCAAGTCGCCTCATTGCTGCAGCAAACTCTGTGATAAAGTGACCTGAGTTGTTGGCAAAATCCTCGACTGTTGACCGAGAAGTCAGATCAGTATACAGCACCTGATCAGACGTGAACAGCCCTTTCCCCTCTACCAAATTCTGATAGTATATATTGTCGAACTTCTGTGGGGTCCGCGGATCCATGAATACTACATTATCGTCTGAAATATTCTCGGGGCATGATTTCATCAGATCCTGCGCATAAACAGGGTTTAGGGTGGGGTCGATTTGGCGGCCCCTGGAGAAGGAGTATAACCGTTTTTTGAAACGGGAACAGTGGGAAAAACCGAGCGTGTGACTCCCCGACAAAGCAATCATGTCGGTTTGGGACAGGTTGTTTTTGGCGAACATGTTGTTGAGTTGATCGAGGCTGAAATCGGGTCCCGGTAAGTTTCCCGAGACCATGGAAGCCTTAGAGATGAGCCCGTCTCGCCTTCCTAATTCCACTCGGAATTTAGGGCCACCTGCCTGAATCATTCATGGATGGAAATGAACAAGTGCTCGTGTCGCAAAATGTAACATTTCTTTTCTCTATTTTGGAAAATACAACAGGTTATGAAGCCCGATAAGTATTGTGATTGATTACCAGGGCTACAACATCTCGAGCAGCAAGAGCTAAAATGTCTGCACACGAGACAACCTCGGGGCATTGATCTTCGACTGCCTTTTTCACCTGTATGACAGTGTCGAAGCCATCTCCCGCTAGGGAAAGATTGTCCTTGGCATCCTTTTCAGCATCATTATTTTGTGAAGCGATAAGAATCGAGGCATCGCATCCCTACAAAAAATTCAAGACTAAGGTATGTTTAAGAGGAAAATTATACACAAGTTTCTACAGTGGAGCTCAATAAGATAATTTGGTGGTTATGTTGGTTTCTTATTTTTACTTGGAGATAGCAATTACTTGGGTAAGAAGTACAAATGTTCGACGCAGAGAGTACCTCAACAAAGCAGTCATGGAGAAATAGGCGAAGGGTGGCTGGGATTGCAACCGGCGTCTGTTGAACCTTGGCTCGCACGGCCTGTTGGACAATGGTTTCGACGTTAGGACAAGTTGATATATAAAAGTTCTCCTTCAATTGCCCTTCTACACTCCTCACAAGTATGATCACTATCAGTAGACATAAAGCTTTGTAGTTCATCTCCATTTTTCTCTCCTAATGTGTGTGAGTTTGTTTATGTGCCACAAATGATTGTGTACAATGTGCTCGAGTATATCATGAATACAACGGTTCGAATATGGCAAATATAGGGTTGCTGACTCTTTTAGCAGAGAAAGGGTCTGTTTTTCTTTTAAAAGAGGTTGATATTTTTATCAAGGAAATTGAACTGACTGAAAATTAGTCATGTGAGACTAAATTACCCCACTTGTGATTTGATATAGAAATTTTTTAAAAAAGTTCACATCGTCTTAAAAAATAAACAAAAATATATTGCAGTGAAATACTCTCTCTCTCTCTCTCTTAAAATTATGTAAGTAGATAAATAATGAATTAAAATTAGTGTGGTGTGTAAGAATGATCGATTGATTTTATTTAACTATATTGATAATATTGATCAGTACAAGAATATGATGAAATTCCAATGAAAAATTCTAACGGAAATATATTCCAGTGGGATTCCAATAGATATTCCAATGCTATTATTTCCATTGGAATTTTCCAATAGATTCCAAGGAAAATTTCAAGGAAAATTTTTCGTTGAAATGAGTTTTTCATTGGAATTTTTCGTTGAATTTTGACGATTCTAGCGGTACATTTTTCAACGGCTTAAATATGAGTGAAAATAAAAATTTCGACGGGAATTGTATATTGCAATGGTACGTTTGAATGATCAAATTCCATCTAATTTCCAAGGGAAAACCGCATTTGTCAATCAACGATATATGCACACTAAATTCTTGGGTTTTGTGTGTTTAATTTAGGTAAAGTTCGACTGATGCTTACAATTTTACAAAAGTCATTTTTTTTTTCATTTTTTATTTAAGAAAATTAATTACCATAAAATCGAGAATTTCGAATTAGGCAAAATACTATCACATATATCTTTTACTAATTGCAACATATTAATTTTTTTTTTTAAAAAAAATCAGATTGCATATAAATCGGGTTAAATTATGTAAAATTCGGCATGAAAATTTTGTAAAAGTAAAAATTCTCTCATTATTTATTAAAAAAAGTCTGTTTACCATAAAATTGGAAATTTTGAATTAGACAAAATACTATAACATGTATGTTTACCTAATTGCAACATATCATGTTTATTAAAAAATCGGATTGCATAGAAATCAAACCCAATTTCAAATTGAAAATTAAAGTTTAAAAATCTCTAATCATTTGGTTATTACTTTCTTTAGTTCGGATTTTTTTTTTTAAAACATAAAATAGAGTCAGATAATATTAATTTTGCAATTCAAAATGAAATCGGATTGGAACATCCTAAAAAATTGGGTTTTGTTTAATCCTCTAGAATAAAAATTTGAAATTGATTACATACACTTAAAAAATAAACAATGATTGCACACACTTACAAAATATCATTAATATCTTGCTAAATAAATAATTGATCTATTTAAGCCTATCTCGAATCCTAATATAATTTGTGGTGACAAACGATGCACCAAAAGACCAAATAAATAATATTGTGTATAATGACGTGTTTATTGATAATATATAAGTTACATTTTGTTTATTCAATACATGCGTTTTAGGTTCTTCTAATCATCCACTCATCCAATTTTAAATGTTTACCTTAATAAAGCTAGCCCGTGCATCGCACTAGTTATTCTTATACGATGACATACTTAGAAAACTTTAGCCGCCTCATACTACCACTAGTAATAATATAGGGAAATGCTACAGTCCCGTTACAGAACCTTCCGTCGGGATTTGTAACCGTTAGATCATCATGTAACAATCGTGGATAGTTGATCTAACAGTTATAAATCCCGACAGAATTGTTCCGTAGCGGAAATCTCCCAATAATATAATCCCAACAACTTTCTGAAAATAATATGTAACACCCGGATACGTTCAATTACGTGGTTAACAAACATTTCTCCATTTAAGTACAAGTTCTCAAGGTGAAAAAAAAAAAAAAAAAAAGTTTGACCACTGCTTATCCTGTCGCCACACAATATTTGCCTTAAATACCAATTTTTAAGAAATAAATTGACTATAAATATTAGCATGGTCTGCTACTAAAAGGAAAACCTTAATGCAATATGATAAAACCCAATTTCTGATAGTGAATACAGTTCACAGCCGTAAATTTAAAAAAAAAAAAAATAGAAAATGTATCCTAAAAGTGGGGAGATTCTACGGTCCCATTACGAAATCATCCCGTTGAAATTTGTAACCGTTAGATCATCATGTAACCGTCGGGGATAGTTGATCTAACGGTTACAAACTACGACATAATGATTCTGCAACGGGACCATTTATTTTCCCTAAAAGTGCTCAAATAATATAAGCTGAAAAATTGAATTGCTTGCAAATTCAATTGAATTGCTTCCAAATCATCCCGTCGGAATTTGTAATCGTTAGATCATCATGTAACTGTCGGGGATAGTTGATCTAACGGTTACAAACTATGACAGAATGATTTCGCAACGAGACCGTTTATTTTCCCTAAAAGTGCTCAAATAATATAAGCTGAAAAATTGAATTGCTTGCAAATTGAGGTGTGCAATAATGCGGGCATAGGTTGGTTGTACACGCGATAAAATATAGCCTTTTGCCGAATCAAGTGTTACAAGGAGCTACTTTAAAATTTAAATAATCCCGTGTTTTGTTATTTAACCTAAAAATATGGTAAAATTCTTCTACGCGTAGTGATAAAAATGGACCATGACGTGGAAGAAAAAGAAATCATGCATATGTATGGTAAAATGGCAATGATGACTACAAAACTCCAAATGAGTACAATTATGACATTTTACATAATTATCTTTAGAAATAATAGAGTTTTATTTTTGTAATTGATATATCCGTTCGGATATGCTCGGTAATAAGTCGGTGGTTTCACCTCTAGAATTTGATTCATTAGTAACGAAATTATACAATAGATTAATTTTGGTGTCATAATTATTGTGTTATTAACATAATTTTGAAACATATTTATAAAAGGTATCAAAGTTATGAGTTTCTGCAACGGAATCTGATTTATTTCGAGTAGAAAATAATAACTAATTTATGAAATTAAATGTACATAATAATGTTTTGTTGAAATCTGAATTTTAATTGAAAGATTCATTTTGATGATTAATGTCCAAAATACTTGCCTTGTATACTAATTTTGAAATAACATTAAAATGACTAAAAATAAGCCCAAGTGAAGTGATCTTATCTCGGTTGGAAAATTGGTGATTTGAATTTTCGATCTTGGGTGTCCTATATTTTTCTGGCTCGCCCTCGCAATTGATTTTCATATATAAAGAAATACCATGTAGAAGCGACTCGATCAGTTCTATTCTCTACCTTCTATCCTCACTCGAGATCGCCAATGAAATAAAGAAATCACATATTATTGACATCACGACTCTAACAATGAATTTTATGAAAAACATAAATTTTTTGTATAACTTAACTTTATTTCGATCAAACGATTTTGTTGTACACTGTCTATTTGTCTCTTCTGATTCTTATCTTCATGGACTTTGATTTGATCTACAATGGATTTAACAATTGGATTTTCTTTGAGTTTGATCTTGAATTTCTCGAACATTAATTTGGGGTCGTATGACTCATTCCTATATTAAATGTTAAGATTTGATTTGATTGAAGATGATTTCTTAACGGTCTTTCTTCTTTGATCCTTCTTGGAGAGTGACTTGGACTTCTTGTAGAGATAATGGGCTTGAACGTCGATTTCTTCTTTTATCATTCTTGGAGAGAGACTTTGACTTGAACGTCGATTTCTTCTTTGATTCTTCTTGGAGAGGGACTTGGACTTGAACGCTGATCTTCAACTTGAATGTCATGGATCTTCAAGGATACCTTTGGATCTTCAAGAGAATTATTGAGATCTCTTGTACTTGAGACATAAATTTATGAAGTGTGATTTTGTGGCTTTGACGAGAGCCATATTTATAGGTGTAGGAGAGAGATTCTTGGAGATGAAGAAAACAATTCCTTCATGATTTGACATGTTATCATAAGATATGATTTGGTGGGCAACAAATACTTAATTTATTAATTAAATATCTTATTTATCTTGGATTTATGTCCAAATATAAATAAAGACACTAATTAATAAAATATTAAAATTTTGATATATACAAAAACATATCCGATCGAAACTATCCGAATGCGGCCTCTGCTCACAAGCAGGGCATTCGTCGCGTCATTGAAACTCAACCGAAATCGCGTCATTGGAACTCAACCGAAATCACGACCACCAGTCGTTGTTGTCTTTTTGATGAGCTAAGTGAAATATGATGGGTCAAGTTATCACAGCCTTCCGTTGAAGCTCGCCGTCTGACAACATCCGCCACTCACGAGCCGAAAGGGACTGCCGCACAATTATAGTCGTCATCTTCAGTTGCCGAACCCGCCTGTTGTCGCGCCATTCCATTCGCCGCAGAATATGACCCGAAAGAAGGTGTGATGTAGTCCGTCTCCTTCGCCGCCAGGTGGATTGCTACTGAGGTTGTGCGACGGGAGTCGGTTTTGTCTAAAAAAGTGGAGTCGTTTTTTTTTTTTTTTTTTAACTATTCGAGATCGATAAACTCTGACTTCATTACAAATAATATATTTATGTTGTTTAATAGAATGTCTCATTTGTTTGTGAATAAATTTGTAAGATTTAGTCAATTTGCTAAGAATTATAATTGTGTCATGAGATTGTAAATAAAAAGTTGTAATTTGAGGAATTTCCCCTATATACAATCGGCCCATTTCATCTATTTTCACGATAAAAAAACTGGGCCTAAAAATCGCCAATTTATAATCGTAGTTGCCGAGCAGTTGAAGAAGAGAGTAGAAACATTTTCAAATTACAGAAAACTGAAGAAATGGCCATGGAAGTTGAAGAGAGAGCAGTTGGCTCGAACTTTTCCTGTTGGCCTATACGACGACGTTTGGGACCAGATGCCCCCTTGTTCGCCGCTGGTAACATCGAAAGAGAACTCCTCGCGAAACAGGTATGACACAGGTTTATGCGCCTTGTGACCCCGATTAGATTCATACTACAAATGTGTCAATTTATATGTAGATTTTATCTGCCGATTTGTGTTAGCTTTTGAATTTTCTTTTGTCGTTTTTGACATATTGTATCGATGTCGGAGCTGAGTGATTTGATGTTTACGTTGGTTTCAATTTCTGGAAGCAGATGGTTTGATTCAACCGTCGTTTGGTGAAGATTGTTCAAATTTATCGACTGTTTAAATCCATTTTTGGGTGTTAAATCTGATTTTGAGATGAGCTTCGTGTTGTTGTGCTGCTGCAATCTTTTTCTTTTCAAATTCGAAACTATAGATATTAGGGGGCGTGCAAGTATTTCAGTTCAGCTAACTGATCATAAAATAAGTGAACGTTCGGGGAAGGAGAAGACTGATTTTATGTTAACCGAGGAAATGTTAAGGTGCTGAAGTAGACGAGGGATGAAATGCAGTAACCACTACAATGTGGCTACTTAATTAAGAGATTGTGTGTTGATTTCAGTTTGTTCTAACTGGTAAATTTGGATGGTTTTAGTCACAGAAAGGCTTTTATACTGTTCCTCATGGAGTCAGATTCCTTGCGGTGTACTCGTATGGAAACTCTAATTGTTAATATAAATACAATCAGATGTTTTTATCAGCAAAAATTGAGAACGAGCGTGCAATATTTTTTTCGAATAGGATGAGTGACTTCCAAACACTGTAGTCATTGTGCTCAACATCTTAGATGGCAGAAAATTTTAAACTATACATATACTTTCAAGAGTAACCAGTGAGTTCTAGGCTGACTAGACTGTTCTTTTGACACCTGCAGTACAAGAATTTCTCCTTAGTTCAAGAGAAGTTACTGGTAGCGTTTGAAGTCATTGTGGAGATCAAAGCTCTGAGATCAATTGCCACTAGTAAAGCACCGTTTTCGTAGAGGCTGCTAAGAAAATAATAGATTGATGATTTGCACCATTGTATATGATTTTTCTTTATGGTTCTTCTCTTTGTATAGCTTATTATCCCCAGTAAACATGTAGGTTTCTAATTTCTGTCTATACTTCATCCTGAACTTGGAAATAGAAAACACTTTCTGTGCATGATAGATGTGTGACCGTGTCTTTAAATTACTTCATATCATCGAAGTGTACTAACCCACGGTTTTGTGAATATTTTTGAATGGTATTCAAACTGTTGGTGCCAAACTTCTGTTCTGTACTGCTTCTTTTTATATGCAGTGATAATTGCTAGAGAGTTTGAATAAGTGTAATGTATTTATTCTCTAGGTTGCATTGGACATAACGGAAGAAGAAAAGCAACAGATAAGAGGTGTGGAAGATTGGGCATGCAGGTATGAACAATTTTACCTGGCGGTCTATTATTGGGATCATTAATCTATTTGAAATGTCAAATAATATGATATTACAGAAGATGGTGTATGATACAAATCCATGGGTTTACTTATGACAGGAGAGGGTATAATATTAAGTAAAATTGTTGACAGCATTGCCATTTACCTCCACAATTTTACTTAATTTGTAATGTTTTAATCAGTGAAGTGTTTTGCCCAATTGTTGGTTGTGGAGCACGCCTGAAATCTTTGGAGGACTTTGAAGATCACTATAATGCACGGCACACTGCATCTTGTTCTGTCTGCTCGCGAGTATACCCAACATCTCGTTTACTTAGTATACATGTATCTGAAGCTCATGATTCTTTCTTCCAAGCGAAAGTTGCCCGTGGCTTTGCCATGGTAAATTCTTGAACTCAATTCCTTGGTTAAGCCAGTTCAAGACTAATGGTCTTATGCATAAATTTCCCTCAAAAGGTCTTACATTTTCGAACAAAAAAGATAAAGGGAAAAATGGACGTATACTAAATTCTTGATGCATTTTTTGTGTTTGTAGTACGAATGCCTTGTTGAGGGGTGTAATGTGAAGCTAAAGAACTACAAGAGCCGGCAGCAGCATCTCGTGGACAAACACAAATTCCCATCCTCGTTCGAGTTCTTCAAGAAGGCCAAGCCTTCGAAAAAACAAAGGCACAAAGTGCTGCATCATAAACAAGCATTACACGACACAAATGACGCAGCATCCACAAAGATGCAAGTCGACCAAGAAAACATAGACAGTCTTGTTTCGGCAGTCTCTAAGCTAAGCACTTCAGATTCTCCTTCATCGGTCAGTTTCGGCAGGCGCCACAACAGAGGCATTGCTTTCGTTCCTCGAGCTGTTCAGAAAGAGAAGAAGCCTGGCCCGGGCCTTGCAATTGAGCAGGTAAAAAGATAGCTTGGAAAATCTTATCAAGTGGAGGCCATGTATGGAGTCGGATAGCGTTTGCATGAGGTGGCAGTGTTTTTGGATCTTGTCGAGAATTTCTGCATGTTTTAAAAGAAGGTTTTACTGGTATAAGATTTTACTGTGAGAATATGTGAGAATGTACTGTCACGATTGATTTACTGAAGAAGCTTTTCGATTCGCATCTGCTGTTTGAATCTTCGCTGGATTTTGATCATTAACATTTATTTATTTTTTCTCTCGTAAATCATCAGATGAACTAATTCTGCGATGATGTTGAAAACAATCATTTTTGGTTTAAAACAACTTATAACTTTTTGTTCGCTCTTTTTTTTTTTATGATATTATCAGTATTTTTATTCTGGTTTGAAGTATCTAGCCAAAGCAAATGCAAGTAATCAGCAAGATTTAAAAAGAAAAATGAAAGGAAAAAGTGTTAAAATGTAGATTGTCTCACGTTTGTTGAAATAAACAATGAATATATAAGATAGAGATAAGAGAGAATTGTAATTTTCGAATATGCTAAGAGTATGACAGTCTCGCATGTTTCGGAATTTTATTCGACAGCATTCATGCATTGTAACTAGGCTCGGACAAATATTATTTTTCTAAGAAAGACAAATAACCTAGACTTAGATAATATTAGGTACTCTATATGTTACCATTCTTACTTTTCATTATAAATTTAACCGGCTTTCATGAAAATTATTTTTTATTTTTTTATTTTTTATTTTTTATTTTTTTTGCCAAACGAACAAATTATATTAATAACTCAAACAATACAACTCGTTACCAACTGGTTAAATACACATCACACTAACTAGAGAAGTTAGGACAATAGTTAACCGAGAGTGGCAACGCATTGCTCTCTCGGTTTACAAGGAACACTAGAAACCAAACACTCAACAAACTTAGACATCAACAAATGATATCATCCAAAACAGCAACAACTAAATTTTTGCAAGACAAAGTTCCATTCAAACCCTGCACTACATCCTCAGAATTCAGAAAACATACCACTTTCTTCCAACCCTTCTTGCTTGCCAAATCCAAAATGGCCTGTAGATTTGTTGTTGTCTGATCTTCAGCCCGATCCCAAAAGTTCTGCCAATCATGCAATTCTGCATCTTCGTGATGCCACTCCTCCAATCCCCATTTTTTCCAATGAAGCGATTAGAGCATTGATATATAACGATACATACCCTACTCCCAAGGAAAAAGTTCTCTTCTTCTTGGTAATTAGCAGGTTTAGTAGGAACTCTTGAAACCCTCTGTTCAGCTTCTTCAACCTCCACATACTCCAACCACTCTCTTCTTGCTCCTTCCACCACTTCTATTTCCGGGGACTTCTCATTTCTAAAACAAACATTATTTCTTGCCTTCCTAGATTCTCCACAGTAAATAAACAGAAAGAGCATTCTATCTGCCAAATGTTTATATATTCTTATTGAACACACCTCCTCCCACCCGTCTTTTATGCTTGACTTTCTAACCTGCAGAGCATCCCACTGAACACCCACCAGCTTCCACCAAATTGTCACCTTGGTGCAGTTAACAAACAAATGTTCTAACTACTCTGAGTGTTCTCCGCAGATTGAGCAAATGTTGTCCACTTCAAGCCCCATTTCTCTTCAAATTTGCCTTGGTTCCCAGAAAACCATTGTACACTCTACACAGAAAGTTTATGAGTTTTGGCTGAAGAGAAAGTTTTTGGGATATGTTCCACATCCTCCTCAAACTATCATTTGCCATACTGGCCCAGCCTTTCGGTTAAAACCTGATAAATGAGACACGATTTCCTCATTTGAATACTTGACAGAGAATACCCCATTTCTTACTGAAATGCCACATTAACCTATCTTTGGATTGAAAGGGACCTAAATGAATCCTAAGGATAGCCTCAACTTCAAAAGGGTAAAAAGAATGTCTAACTAAATCTTTATCCGACCCACTTCTCCCATCCTTAAACAGGTTACCAACTCTCTGCAACCTAAGCTTATCACTCCCAAACTGATAGGTTAGCTTCTCAATTGATTTTTCAAGAAGCTTCTCGATCGCATCTGTTTGAATCCATGCTTGATTTTGATCGTTAACGTGTATATTTTATATGATCTCATAATAAGGGGATAGATAAATAATCATTCGATGGTGTTGAAAACAATCATTTCTGTTTTAAAACAACATTTAACTTTTTGTTTGCTTTTTTTTTTTCTTCATGATATTATCAGTATTTTTATTTATGGTTTGAAGTATCCAGCCAAAACAAATGCAAGAAATTAACTAGATTTAAAAAGAAAAAATGAAAGAAAAAAAAATGTTATAATGTAGATTGTGTCATACGTTGAAATCAACGATGAATATATAAGATAGAGATACAAGAGAATTGTAAGTTTTTAATATGATATGTCTATATAGCAATCTAGCATGATCCAGAATCCTATTCGATAGCATTTCATGCATTGTAACTAGGCTCGGGCATATGTTAATTTTTTAAGAAACCAAATAACCTAGACTTAGATAATATTAAAAACCATGTATGTTACCATTGTACTTTTAATCACAAATCCAAACGCTTTCTATGATCGAGTACATGGTCGAGTATGACTCCCGAAGGGCGATTAAAGCCTAGGTTCTTGAAGATTTCATCTAGGAGTGCACAAATGTCGAGCTCGAGGCTAAAGAAAAGTGACAATCATTTGTGGATGGATCATTGTCGAAGGGAGTAGCTCGACTAGGCATTGTCTTGATTTTGCCTAAAAACGACAACTTCGTGACCAAATTGTAATTTTGGAGATTAAACAATAAGGCAGAATATGTGGCATTATTAACAACAATGCAACTGGCCATCGCAGGCAGTTCGGGTACACTCGGAGTCTCAATTTGTCGGGGGGAAATTGCAAGGCATAATCGAGATAAAAAAAGATAGAGTGCAAAAATATGTGAAACATCCCTAAAACTAAATTGACATATACAAATGTCGAGCTCGAGGCTGAAGAAAAGTGACAGTCATTTGTGGATGGATCATTGTCGAAGGGAGTAGCTCGACTAGGCATTGTCTTGATTTTGCCTAAAAACGACAACTTCGTGACCAAATTGTAATTTTGGGGATTAAACAATAAGGCAGAATATGTGGCATTATTAACAACAATGCAACTGGCCATCGCAGGCAGATCTCGAGAAATTCGGGTACACTCGGAGTCTCAATTTGTCGGGGGGAAATTGCAAGGCATAATCGAGATAAAAAAAGATAGAGTGCAAAAATATGTGAAACATCCCTAAAACTAAATTGACATATACAAATGTGGAGCTCGAGGCTGAAGAAAAGTGACAATCATTTGTGGATGGATCATTGTCGAAGGGAGTAGCTCGAGTAGGCATTGTCTTGATTTTGCCTAAAAACAGACAACTTCGTGACCAAATTGTAATTTTGGGTATTAAACAATAAGGCAGAATATGTGGTATTATTAACAACAATGCAACTGGCCATCGCAGGCAGATCTCGAGAAATTCGGGTACACTCGGAGTCTCAATTTGTCGGGGGGAAATTGCAAGGCATAATCGAGATCAAAAAAGATAAGAGTGCAAAAATATGTGAAACATCCCTAAAACTAAATTGACATATGTGGAGAGTGGGATTTGAACCCACGCCCTTTCGGACCAGAACCTTAATCTGGCGCCTTAGACCAACTCGGCCATCTCCACTTTTTGACGAGCACTTTACATTAATTCTCCAATTCAGCAATTCATGTTATGACTAGTCAGAAATCAATAGCAATCTCCACGGTTTGTTGATAATATCATAAAATTTCCAGAAAGTCGCTCGCGATTCTACGCTTTCCCTCCAGAAAACATCATAGCTTCTGCGAGAGATATGGCGGTTGAGCTGAAACGTCTCGGCGGAGCCGCCGCAGCGCCGTTTCAGTTACGGCGTTCTCTGAATCCACGATTGGGACGATTTTCCGTTCAGTCTCCTCCCAATGCTCCTCGTCGGCTCATTACGCTCGCAGTTGTTAAGAGGAACCCCAAACGCCTGAAATACGCCGCACCTCGCTTTCCTAAGGTCCGATTATGAACCTCTCTCTCGCGTCCATTTTTTTTTCGTCGAAGCTCAGCGAACTGTCTATAACCAACTCTTTTTGTACCGCTTTACATTTTTCTCGCTTCAGGAAGACGGATTGTTGTATGTTGAAGTTGATCCGTCCGGGTCGGACTCTTGGAAACTTGACCCGGTTATTGAGCTCTTGAAGGAAGGGGCTGTAGGAGTTATCCCAACAGATACCGTGTATGTTAATTTTTTAATTTAATTTAATTTGATTTTTCTGGTCTGTCCTGTTGAAGTTATTGTTTATTCTTGTTTTATAGATTAGAATTATCTCTGCTATAGTAGGGAAGATAGTTGCAGTATGGACCTATTATTTGTTAACAAAAACTCATAGCCGGATCAGATAATTCAGGATTAGGATTATAATTTCTGTGACTGTGAATTGGTAGATTCGATGCCTGAGTCTTCACATTGGGAGATACTAATCAGCACGACATATGTTTCGCGTAATGACTCCAAGAAAATGAGTTTTCTTGAGAGCTAGTTATTTTAGATATATGTTTTGATTCTGATTATCTGAGTGTTAGATTGTTTGATGGGTTTTTTCAATATTGGTATTGCTTCATGTTCGTTGACTCAGACAAAACTTAAACCAGATGAAAGTAGCTTTCTCGGTGAATTTTAGCTTGTTTTGATGGAAATATTTGTACTGTGCAGACAAGCTCAGGGCCGACTTTAATTAGTTTTGGCACGACTGATTAGAAAAACACCTGAAGAAGCTAGATTTTGATTGGATTTTGAATATTCCTTTGATGATAGGTATGCAATAGTTTGTGATCTGAGAAACAACTCTGCGGTTGAACGTCTGCGTAGGTAGGTAGTCTTTATTTTTCTAGAAAATGGCAGTCATGTTGATGAAAAAAATTCTTTACCTTTTTGAGTCTTGTGACCAGTGTTGTTTCTGTTTTGCAGAATAAAAGATGTAGAACCTTCAAAGGCAAGTCGTAAAATGTTTTTTATTAACGCTTGGTATCTTTATGGGCCTTACAGTTCACCTAATTAAGTACGAAATCCGCTTTATCTTTCTTCCCTATGAAAATGGGAGTTGCTCTCTTGATAATATGATAGTCACTCACTTTTGCAGCCTCTCAGTATATTATGTCGCTCATTCAAAGACATCGATACGTACACAACAGGATTTCCCCGTGGCAATGACCAAGGTCTTAAAAACATTTTTCGAGCCGTTAAACAATGCCTGCCTGGTCCTGTAAGTGTCACTGAATGTAACATCTTGAATCTTTACACTTTTTCAATAAAAAAATAATGTTTATTGATATGTCTGTACTTCATGGGGCCTTTTTATTATCTTTTCACTTTTCAGTTGAAAAGATTATGTATTTATGTATCTGCTTTTTTTTTTTTTTTTATGCGAAATAATAGAACTTAAACTTCTTATGTCACAGTATACTTTCATTTTGACTACAAGCAAAGAATTTCCGAAACATTGCATCCGATATGGGACTACAACTTCCAAGTATACATCAAGAAAGAATGTAGGTATTCGCATGCCAGATGATGCTGTGTGCAAGGCAATACTCGAGAAGATGGATGCACCTTTAATATCCACAAGGTCAGTTGTGATGCGTGATTTAATCATTTAAATCTAGGCTTTTTTCTTCCTTTTTTTTATAATTTATTTATTTGATTTTTGGTTGGTTCGGTTATAGTGCTGTTATAACTGAAAAACTAGATGCGGTACATTTAATGGATTTTTAACTTCTAATGCTAATAATAAGAATATATTGATGATTTAAATATTGTATATTATAATTGAAATCATTTTTACCAATTCCAAAATTTCAACAAATAATTATTATTCTTAAGATAGTTATAAATATAGATTATTATATACGGGGTATTTTTCTCCTTTTCAATGATTCTTTTGGAAGTCTCAGATATGTATTCTTGGGTTATTACAAGTGTGTGTTTCAGTGTTTTATAAACCTCAGTTGATATTGAACACTCAAACTAGTTCCTTTTCATCAGTGTCAAGTCACCAAAGGAGGATGAGTGGATATTAGATCCTGTCATAATAGCTGACGTGTATGGACCGGAGGTACAACAAGATCTTGAACTTATTAGTTATTTATGCAATTTTTTGCTAAACCAATCCATTTTTTTGTTCAAAACCTTAGATTTTTTTTACAACCTGTTCTTGTGGCTTCATTTTTCAGTAATCTAGTATTTAAATAATTCAGTAAATCACAACCCAGACAAACTCTGCAGAATAAATTCCTTCACAACTAAATGGAGCCCTTCTATCTCATAATAAATGTAGGGCCTTGATTTCGTTGTTGCTGCTGGGAATAGATTCGCTGATCCTTCTACCGTGGTAGACATGACAGGGAGTTCGCCACGAGTTATACGGCAGGGCAAGGTAAAACCGTAAAATACGCGCGTGAAAATTTATTACACAACCTTTTCTACACTCACTCAAAAAAAAAAAAATATTTTCTACACTCACGCAAAAAAAAAATTAAAATATTGATGTACATTTGTAGCTTTCACTAACCAATAAAAATAAAAGTTGTTTGTGGATCTGTAAAATTGGTCTTCTCTATACCCATCTAGAAGTTCGGGCTATCATTACAATTTTTCCCCCTCAAAATAATGATATGCGTACACTCAATGCGTATGGTGATTTTTTTTCTCCTACAATGGATGTTGTTCTTCGCGTTTCAAATCAAGTGCGAAAATGGGAAAAACAAGTCCATATGGGTGCCACCCACACGGGTGGATTGAATTAACCATAATTTACTGAATCAATATTTTGTTTTGCTACAAGTCAATATATTACCATGAAGGATGGGTTTCATAATTCCTTGGCATAACTGTCTTACTTTTCCTTTTTCTTTAATTTTTTCCCCATGTTATTCTCGTCAGGGTCCGAAACAATCTTGGATGGATTCAGACGATGAAGAAGATTCTCATGTGAACAAAGATTAGAAAACACATAATGCAGCTTAAATGGCAGTTGCTCTGACCTTGTGGATAATTTTTGTACAGCATTGAAATCAAGCCCATTTGGCCATCCTGTAATTTCGTATGGAATGCTATGTTATGTTGTCTGTATATTTTGTACAATCATCTTCAGCCCCCATCACCGAAGTTTTGTCGAACTCGAAGGATGAACAAAACTGCTCGCCAGAATTACTGTGATTGACTTGCTGAATTCTATTGCTTTAAAATCATGCAAGTGGATGGATAGAGTTGAAATCTTCTGCAAGTTGTTGGTTACTTGCAGTTAGAAGAATGAATTATGAGATTCAATTTTCAGTTGCATCCTAGTAAATTGTTGGGAATTGGCTGCTTATGGGATGGCTATCTACATATATTGACTTGCACTATTCATTTTAGGGGTAGGGAGGTGTGATTGATCCATCATGTATTGTGGTAGTCGTTACTATGGGTGAGCATGAGATTCGGATAATTTTCAAGCTCGAATATCAAATCGTAATCACTCTGAACCACTAAATAACTGCTGACTGTTTGATTTTCTTCGAACAAATCGTAAAATAATTAGTACTAGAGATTATATAAATATCTGTATCCAGAATTGAATCGAACAATTTCATATCATACTGGACTGAGAAAATGAAATTAAAAATTGAATTATATAACATTAGATGTGCGTTGTTAATATATTCTATGTAAACTTTTAATCCTGTATAATTTAGGTATTTTTAAAATTCAAATAAAAAATATAGTACAAATAATTAAGCTTTACTTAAATTTTACACATAGTAATACTTCTTCTACAATTAATTTTTTGTGTTTTATAAAATCTATTTATATATATAAAGATTTGATTATTTTTTAAATAGTAACTATTTCCCTCAAAAAAATCCTATTTACTATTTCAGGAAATTAATTTAACAATTTATGTTATATTTCAAGTAATCACTTATGAAATTTGCGGCTCCTTCTTTAAAGAAATAAATTAAGCCATAATATATATATATATATATATACATATATATATAAAGATTTGTATTTATCTATAACCAAAGAATTATTAAAATCCTAAATTCTAAAGTACACATTGATTATGGTAGGAATTATTAAAATCCTGAATTATATTAGGAACTACTAGAATATGAGATTCTAAACAACACATTGATTATATTAGTGATTATTAAATTAATTGATTAGTGGTTATTTGATGGTAGGATCCATTTAACACGTTATTGATATGGTTGAAAAGGTTTAGAAATTATTTGTTGGCAAAAATAAATAAAATCACAAAATTTAACTTTATCTCATTTACTAAAATCTATTTTTATGCCACAATCATGCCGTTACATTTTTAAATCCCTAAATTCTAAACTACACATCTATCATTATATAAAAAGAATAACATTTTTTTCAAAAATAGTAGGTCAAACTTTGTCAAGTTGTTTTGCATTAATTACATTCCTTTCTTAGTAATTTTTTTTTTTAAAAAAAGGAAGCATTAAATGCTACCCATTAATTAAGAATGTTGTTATTTTGTTTTTCAAAAAATCGTGAATGCTGCCCATTAATTGCGACTGTTTTTATTTTTTTATTTTTTTAAAAAAATCGTGCTTAATTGATTAGTGTTGATTTATTATTCAAATGGTCAAACATTTTTATTTTTTTTTTTTCAAAAAATCATGTAACACATTTGTAGTTTTTATTTTTTCATTTACGGCTGATTTGAAATTACTGTTGATTTAAAATTTAAAATTTTGCTATGTAATTTCAAAGCATTATAAAACTGAAGATATGGTTGATTTAAAATTATAAAAATTATTTTTTCAATCATTGATTAGAAAACTCTTCAAATTCAAAATTTAAAATTGTAAAGAATGTATACAGATTTTAATCCAGTTTAAGGGGATGTTTGAACCCTAACTTCAATTTGTCTATGAATTGAAGGATCTTTATTCATCGTTGATTAATCTAGACGACGTATTTATTTTGTTGATGAGTTGATTTATGCTATTTGTGTATAATGTTTATAAATTATGGTGTTTGATTTAGTCTGACCAACTTCGTTAAATCTTCATAGTTTAAATGCTAGAGACGAGATTTTAATCTGTAATTGTTATTGTTTCGTTTCTTTTGTAGTAAACTAGGGGTCGTTCATCTCTAGGGTAGCATGAACATAAGTTAAATGGTCCGAGCTTTTGTGTCCGTTGCTAAGACTGATCTATTTTTCTAGAGATTAATGTTGCTAGCGGATTAAATCTAGAGAGCTTATTCTAGGTTGTCCACTAGTTAGGTTTAGTCGAAGAGCCTATTTCGATTAAATAATCAGTAAGGAAAAATTCGGTTAACAGAGCTTGTTGTTAACTAGGGTCGGTAATTCATTAGCAATTTAAAGAAAACGTCGAGATTAATTAGCGGTAGATTTAGATTGGGTGATAACTGAACCGAAAACTGAACTTCTCTTATTTTATTTAATTTTTATTTTATTTTTATCAAAATCAATCCACCATCTTTATTTGCGTTCTTAATTTAGTTCAATCAATACGAAATTATCACAATTTAGTTCTTGGTTCTCGTGGGATCGACCCTTACTCGCCACTACTACTAGTTAGTAGAGGTTTGTTAAGGAAACTTTATAAATTTAAATTTGCCGCGTCGCGATGCGCGGTCACATAAATTTGG